TGGTGTCTGCTGCTGCAGCTATGACTTCAGGACTGGCAATGGCACAAACATTGTTGGTGATGGACACCGTGGATAAACTGGCGAGACAAGTCAACGATGCTCTCCAGACTCAGAATGCCCTGAGCGTCCACATTAAATTTGGACTTTTGAATTTAAATCAAGAGACTGACCTATTTTAGAAGCAGGTGGACTTATGGCTAGTACAACAAATGTCTTGTTCACACTTTTATCATTCCATTTGTGTGACATCTGTTAATATTGCTAATGCCTCTTATGTGGTGAAACAACTCAATGGTTACTTGAATAGCTCTTGAAATGTTATAATTAGCACACCAGATTGTAACTGTTTAGCCAAAGGGATGGTTGAATACCATAGCCCAAATGGGAGGCTGGGTCCAGTGGTGATTGGGGACCCTATTGCTGGCAACCAACGCCTGTTGCCATGGGCATTCATTTCTGAATTCTGTGTAAGATCAGACAACCCATGAAAATACAGCATATGGTCACTTAGCAAGTCCTTCTGACCCTGTTGGCCAGTAACTTGAACGTACTCCAGGTTTGGTTGCAAAAACTGCACCAACAATGAAGACCCCTCCGTAGATGGGCAACGTCTACAGAAGAGGACCCACCTAAGTCGGGGAAGGGGCCTCCCAAAGACAGGTAAGGGTTTACTCTTCTGAGATGACCTAAGACAGGAGGGTCTTCTGTTTTATAAAAAGCGGGGAGATGTTGGGATTAATGAGTCCTGGCCTTCAGTTGCTTTTCCCTCCTAGAACCTTCTAATATAAGTTACTAGAAGCTGTGCCTTGTTAGAGGATCAGAGGATCACCTGTTGACCATTAACTGCAGTGTATTTAAGTCTACATGGTGTTAATAAAGAGGGGCTTTCTGAACCAGCATTTGGAGCTGCGTTTGTCAGTTTGTCTCTCAGCTTCCAGCCCCTTGCCTGAAGCTCAGTAACTGGGTGCCAGCGCACAGAGCGCAGACACAGGGATGCAGTGTGCGGCATGGGTGGTTCGTATGAACAAAGTCACATTTGGTCCAAATTCCAAATGTTGCTGATTTGTGTACTTTGTTCTAAGTTTCTGGTAGGTTCTAGCCCCTATATGTTGACCAATCTTCTAAAAGCTAAAAGTATTTGTTCAAACTGTGACCTTGGTTCCACCTTCTTAACAACGTGTTGTTTACTTCTTCCTGTTCTTACATAATGCCATATCTCTTGTTTCTGCAACGTGAATTCTAGAAACGTATCTGTCAGATGTGGCTAGACCCTCAAGAGAAATCACTGTTTCCGAAAAGCACAGGAAAGACTATGAACAAAATAAACACTGCACTCAAAGTTTAGCTTGGCATAGCTACAGAAATTAATGAATGCCCAAAGAGAGAATACAGGAGGAGATAAGCAAAATCCAGTCTCTAATGGCACCCAGATTCCTGCAAATGCTTATCTTATGCTCCCCTGAAAGCAAACAGGGAAGTGAATGTGAAGAGCAAAATAAGGCTAGTAAATTCCTGAAAGGAGACAGTTCATTTCCCTGGGAGGATAACCAAACCATGCACTGCCTCTCACCAGCAACATACTCTGGCTTGAACATCTTAAAAAGAAGGCTGGTGAACATCTGCCGAGCAATTAATGGAGGCAGCAGTGTGAGATAATGGTCCCTGTGCAGGTTTTCCTAGTCCTGCTTAGGGACACGAAATGCTGCAGACAGTGGTCCTTTACAAGGGGATTTTCCCTTTCTGTAAGGGATATGAGAGGATAAGAAGAGAACAGGAACTAAAATGCCATACAGGCAGCAAACAATCTTCTTCCCCCATATATGAATATGCTAATTTCAGTTTAGAAATCACGACTGCAAGCTCCACAATCCACCCACCCTTCATCTAATGCGCCCTGTTTTGCTTGCATGAAAGAAAATTACCCTCTACTCTATTTGGTAGGTATGTGGTCCAATGAACTGGTGTTCAAATAGCTGTTTTTATTTTTCTAAATAAGGTAGCAAGAGCTATGCCAGAATCGATGTCAAGTAAGAAACTAATACTTCTTCATCATAATTATTTAAGTGTCATTCTTGACACACATGTTTGTCTGTTCATGCTATTATGAAAGTCCATCCCAGAATGTCTGTACCTAGGAATATGGCCAGTTCTATACTCTTAGGTGAACAGACAGCATTTTGAAGTTCACTTATTCTTTTAGTCTTGGTCATTTTCATCCTGTACAGAAACTAATGTTCCACATTAAGTTTACATCAATATAGCTGCTGAGTCATTCGTGACAGAGACTTCATAATGCTGGCAGATAGAGTTTGCAATTGGACTTGAAGAAGACATTAGTGACAAGTCTAATAGGAAGGAAAGTAAACAGCCACAACGATAGGAAGACAAAGATTTTCTTTCTCATTAAGCTGCCCCAGTTTAAGTGCTTTCCCCTCCTGCCCTGCCTACAGCTGTATCTTTTTCTTGTCTTGGCAATCTTGTTGAGTCATACACATCTTTAATACATTATCTGTCTTTCAAATATGATAGTTATGTGGACTTTCAATGACATCTATTCTTTCTGCTAACTTTTCCTCCCAGAAACATAACTCCTGTTCCCAAACACTCATCTGTGAAGAATTCTAAGCATGAAATGGAGGGAATTCTCAGTTGTCTTCAACTTGGTATTGTTCCTGGTCACTCCAGTGGCATGAATTTCTCATAGTTATCAAGGCTGAAGCTCCCACGTGAGCTATGGATCCACATATATCTTAGGATTTCCTTGCTGCATTAGTTTCTCATGGCTAATGCATGGACTCAAATATGGACTCAAACATGGACTCAAATAATGCATCAGCCTCAAATATCTAACTACCTACTTTTCAACTTGGTTTTAATTTGAAATTAGTTCTCAAAAACAGTCCACCCACCTACTCACTCCTTTTTCTACTCTTCTTTTATTTGATATAGGATCTCTAACCAACCAGGCTTGCCTTGATTCTCCTGGCCACCTCTTGAGTGCTGGATTGCTGCGTGTCAAACTTACCAAAATAATGTGACACATTTTAAAGTATGACAGGTGAAATTAAAAGCTGGCACACATAATAACTGAGAGAAAATCTGTGTGAAAAGTAGAGGATCAAAACATAGATGGCCTCTAGAATAGAGAAATGGGAGAAATATAGCTAGATTTTTGTTTAGCTTGCCTTGGGCTATTCCCCTCACTCCAATAGATAGAGTCTTTATGTACATAGAAAAATAATTTTTTTTCTGATCAAGTCACACAACAATGTAATTTATCATTTGCTGAATTCATTTAGAAGCTGAATATGCTGTGAGGCAAGCTTTAATTTCCAAGAAATGAAACATATCCCTTAAAATGCAGAATTCTGTATAAAACGTCAGGCTCTACTGTATTCAGTCTCAAAATTGATAGATACATGAGCAAGTAGCTCTGTGTCCTGTGGGAGAGGATGGTGATATGAATTCTAGGCAAGTTCAGCTAATGAATTAAGTAAATGTCACACCGCTTCTCAAAGACTCTATGGCTTCTTAGAGTTCACTAAAGTACAGAAGGCTCACATGGCGTGTTCTATACTCTACCTCCCGTCCCTCTGTTCCATAAGAATTACATTTACTACTTAGTTTTCGAGATAGTGGGAGAAAAATAGACAGTGACAATATAGTAAACCTGCTTCCAGACATGGGGACCTCCTGGAATCCCCAAGAAAATGAAGGATTGAGATGGAAGCTTCTCCCCTCCATCCTCATGTTTGCCTTCCTCAGCAACCTTAAAGTTTTTTACCCTTGGCGCTTTGGTCTTTGTAATAGCTCATGAGTTCTGTCCTAGCCACCCTTCAATATTCTCCCCAAATACCACCTCCTTTATAAAAATATTCAATATCATTTGGAACTAATAGAATTCATCTTTGTCTTTATCTTTTTTAATTGCTTCAATTGTTAATAATACCAAGGAATTAAAAGAAAAACAACAACTTTCCACATGCCACACATTCTTCTAAGTATATCACCCAAGTTAAGCTACTTCTCCCACTGACTTACATTCCATGGCCACCTCTATGGCACACAAAATTTAAATCTGTATTTTAGGTGTGCACAGTAAGTTCTAGAAAAATGATAGAAACTATAGATTGGGCTAAAAATGCGAACAAAACAAAAAAGCTTTTAAAGTTAAATATTAATACACAATGTGTTTACTTTGTACACAAACATGCATACATTTACTTATTGTGAGACCCCCTTAACTGCCTACTACACTATATCCCTGTCTTATAGCAGACCTCTATGCAATGCCAACACCATACTTTCCCACACCAAACCATTTCATTAGTTTCATCACTATACAAACAATTTCCAGTTGGCATCTGTGCCCCATGAAGCACCAGTAAAATACTCTGCCAAAAAAGTAATTCATGAATATTGTTCATTTAATTATTTATTAACCTACACAATAATACATATTTATAAATTCTTAAGATTACTTATTTCTCATTGAGAGCTCTCTCTGTAGGGAGGAAGACTTCCTTGACTGCTTTTTATAAGTAAAGAGACAGAATATCAAACCTATTTATTTATAAAATTAGGACTAAATGAAGGTTTACTCTATTGCTCCTAAACCTCTTCTTAACCTGTACTCCCATAGCATGGAATATAAAGAAAAAATTCTTTGAGCTATGAATGAATCAAAAATACAGCTTTATAGGGAAATGTGAAAAACATCACTTATGAGATTAATGCTCTTTTTACATGTGTATTGAGACAAAGCATGTTATGGCATGACAGCATGTGCCTAGGTGATTTATTGAACTGTTTTCCAGGGACTAAGGGGAAACAATAGTTTGTTCTCTTGCCAAACTGGTACCCCATTAGGGCAGAACAATCAGTTAAGGAGACTCTCAAGAGCTGTGCCCAATTTATAGCTACCATCTCTCCCTGATCACAATGAAAGTGATTTCCATGCAGCACAGTTGCTGGCAAGAACCCCAAACATAGAAACTGACCTGCTGTTAGATGGGCTGCGTGGACGAGAACTTGGACCCCAGGCTTCAGCTCGAAGTGCACCAAGTTTTGGTTGAGTTTGTGGATTAGAACTTCAGATATCTGAAAGAAGTCTTACAGTTAGTCCTACCAAAGTAGTAATATTGACTATGAATAGCTACACTGAGGAATATGTTGAATATTTATCAACACCTACTAACATTATATGGCAAATGACAAAAAGGGTGGGTCTGTTGTACATAAGACCGAGTAGTAGCTTGGTACAATCCACACATTCTGGGTTTGGCTTGCTTTGCTTCCTTCACTTTCTCTAAACCACCATGGGTAAGCACTTTTTGACTGTTGGATAAATTAACATTGTCAATACCATAATAAACAATACCGTTAAACACAATGCCACCACAGTTTAAGCAACGAGTTAGTTAATCATTGTGTCATGCATATAGGCATTTGCTAAACTATTCCTGACGCTGGTGTTTGGAAGAGATATGGAATTCTAGACCATAGACTGTTTGACTGAGCAAGGTGTTTGAGTAGAAATTACATGCAGTCAAGTATTACAGATAGGGTAAAAACTTTGTTTTTTTAGCATAGAAATTTATTATGCCTGACTTATACATTTTGGGGAACTTCGGAAAGGCTCTGAGGAATAACCATGCTACTTATTTTTATCTGCTATCTTTGCCTTCTTTGTAATACACTATTTTAAGCATCAAGTTCATATTTTATTTAATATTCTATTACGTCTAATTAGCTGGATGCTGACCATTATTTTTATAATTAAATTCTTCTGCTTTCCCTTTATTTGCTGAGTTTCATCTTCTCTACCAAGTTGCCAAAATGGCACTGTGGAGCCTAAATAGTTAAGCAAACCCTGGTTTAGTTTGGAGTTCATGCTAGAAGTCACTAGTAGACAATGGACCTACAGTGTCCAGCACATATACTTCTCTACTGACCAAGAGGAGTGTGAGATTATTCCCTGAATCCCATGGATAAGCACCTGGGGTCCTTCTCTCAAATGTTGTCATTTATGAAACCATGAAGAAAAGCAAGGGTGTGATAAAGCCAGGCTGAAAACAATTTGGTCCCTTTTTCATAAGCATGGGAAATTTCCCTTAACTGTCCAGGTTTACAGAAAGGACAGGTTTTCAAGTAATTTCATCAAAGTGTTTTCTCTGTAATCTCTGATTACTGCTTATTTAGTGAGGTCTTGATAAAAAATAAATATGGATTTTTAGTAAATGTTTCTCACAAAAGTTTTGACTTTGAAACTTACAAATGCATGTAAACATTAATATACAGATACATGTAAACAGCCAAACACAGGCATACATGGAATATATAGATATATAATGAAAAAAACACTTTAGTCAAAACATGAAAGATGTCTCAAAAGCAATTAAGAAACTTACCTGTGCGGAGCGGTGGTGGCACACGCCTTTAATCCCAGCACTTGGGAGGCAGAGGCAGGCGGATCTCTGTGAGTTCGAGACCAGCCTGGTCTACAAGAGCTAGTTCCAGGACAGGCTCCAAAACCACAGAGAAACTCTGTCTCGAAAAACCAAAAAAGAAACTTACCTGTTTCCTAAAGACTATTAGAAACATAAAACAGAACTATGCATCAACAGCAGGAGAACTTCTCACAGTGAAGTGAAATTACTTCTTAATACTGAACATGAACATATTCAAGTGAGACATATAAATAATTAAATCAGAAAATATAGTTTATCAGAACAACCTACTTTTAATTTATTATCTCTAAGAGAGTCCCTCGTGAAAATAATTAGATGTGTGTTGGTTTCTATCATTGCTTCATTGAATTTGTCTATATCACTTACAAAGCTAAGCCAGGTATGCAAAATTAATCAGGTAACAAACCTCATTTCATGTTATTTAACTTGCATCAAAAGATATTTGATAAAGAACATAGATTCTATGGAAAAGAAATTATGCATAAGAAGTAAAAGTAAATGTAATTTACATTCTATACAGGAATAACCTCAATTAGAACCAGGCATTTTGCTATTCAAATAAATTAGTAGTAAGCAAGTTACAAATTTCAACAATACTTTAAAGCTCTTACCAGGTTAATTACAGAAGTACTTATGCTGCATTGTCTTCATTAGATCATGCGATGCTATTTATATATTTAAGTATATGATATATGCATTGAACACTTTACCCTGATAATGCTGCTTATGTCTATTTTTCCCTATGTTTATGCTGCCATCCCCATGGCACAGGCTCAAAGGACATATCCAAGTTTACCTAGTTAATATTTGAGGAGATAAGACTAGACTTTAGCTATGTTTCACTCCTAAACCTAGTTCAGTACTACTAAAAATAAAACAGGTTTCTTTAACTATTTAATTAAGAGGGAGAGGGGAGATGTTTAGTTGTTTATCTGGGTAAGTGAGTTTAGGAGATAAAAATGGCACAGTGTTTAACTCACTGCACTGCCATTTTTAATCCATCTGTAACACACGCACATACACACACAGAGAAACTAATAGTGTCCCCAAAGCCACCGAAAAATGTAGACAAGAATAGGCATTTACTAACACTTTGTTCATGAAAGTGTTCATTCCACCAATCTATGCAGATTGTAATATACGAAAGCTTGGATGACAGAAAGAGTAACAAACTGCAGTCTACAGGAAGCATAGCAAGAGCCCAGATGAGAAGAGCAACACTTGCTTGACAAAAGATTCAAGTGAAATAATATGTGATTACTCAGAGACCAGCCTTGCTGAAGCGAGATGAATTTACTTTCCTTTCTGTCCAGTGAAAAGTGTGCCTCCTAAGTGAATTTCATTTGTAATTCATAGTGCCATTCCTCTTCTGATGCTTTCCCACACAGTCCTTTTCCTATTGAGTCCAGCCAAACAATCATAGCACAAGAAACAGCCTATTATTCTTGGTATCTGCCTGTTTCATAAAATACACCTATGATTTGGATGAAGTTCACACTTCATATAAGTTACTATTTGAAAAGGCAATGGGAACTCAATACAGATACTAGAAAAGGATGTCATGGAAGAGCCTTACTATAGCAAAAACAGCAATTCAATTCTCTCCCTTATGCTTATCTCAAAAGATGAAGACTGAGTGTAACAATCAGAATCAACAATAGTAACAATGGAAAATTCTCAGGGACTTGAATCGAAATGACACTTTCCCCCTCATGCACAATATCCCACACAGGTGGTTAGATGTTTCCCACCTCATGAGGACAAGACTGTAAAAGTCATTTCAAATGTTTCCATTCATTATAGCACAAGAGAAAAAGAGCTTGCAAGCACTTGACTTCTGGTTGAATGAGGCACATGGAATTCCTTCTTCCAACACAATTGTCTTAAACAAGTGCCAAGCCTCTGCTCAAAAAGTAGAGAATCATATTGTTGTCCTATGTGCCCCAATGACAGCAGCATGTCAATATTTGGTATACATGGCAATTGTCACCATACTAAGAATATATTCAACATTTAGACCACTTTTAATAAAATTATTTGGAGAAAACATGTTCACAGGACTGGAATAAACATGTCAAGCATTGAAACACAAACAGAATGGGACATTTAAGAGAGGAGTCAGTAATTGTATACATTCTGCTCCTCTCCCTTCCTCTCCTCTTCCCTCCTACCTTTCCCCATGGTCACTATGCTCCTAAGATCCAGGAGATCTTGATTTTTTTTCTACTTTCTCTGTACATTAGATTCATGTATGTCTTTTGTAATGTCTTCATTGTTGTCTAGGTTCACTGGATTATGAATTGTAGACTGCTTTTTTTGCTTTATGTCTAAAAGCTACTTATGAGGAAGTATATATGATATTTGTCTTTCTGGGTCTGGGTTACCTCGCTCAATATGATGCCTTCTAGATCCATCAATTTTCCCACAAATTTCAAGATGACATTATTTTTTCTGCTGTGTAAACTCCATTGTGTAAATGTACTACATTTTCCTCATCCATTTTTTTTTTTTTGGTTGAGGGGCATTTAGGTTGTTTCCAGCTTCTGGCTATGACAAACAATGTGCTATGAACATAGCTGAGCACACATCCTTATGGTACAATTGAACATCCTTTGGATATATACCCAAAAGTGGTATTGCTGGGTTTTGAGGTAAGTTGTACTCTAATTTTCTGTGAAATCACCATACTGATTTCCAAGTGGCTATACCAGTTTGCACTCCCACCGGTAATGGAGAAGTGTTCCCTTTACCTCACATCCTCTCCAGCATAAGTTGTCATCAGTGTTTTTGATCTTGACCATTCTTACAGGTGTGAGATGGACTCTCAGAGTTGTTTTGATTTGCATTTCTCTGATATCCAAGGATGTCAAGCATTTCTTTAAGTGTCTTTCAGGCATTTTAGATTCCTTTGTTGAGAGTTATTTGTTTATGCCTGTACCCCATTTTTTATTGGATTATTTGTCCTTTTGACAGCTAATTTCTTGAGTTCTTTGTATATTTTGGAGTTCAGCCCTCTGTCCGATGTGGGTTTGGTGAAGATATTTTTCCATTCCGTAGGCTACCAATTTGTCTTGTTTACTGTGTCCTTTGCTTTATAGATGCCTCTCAGTTTCAGAAGGTCTCCTTTATTAATTGCTTCTCTCAGAGACTGTGCTACTGGGGTTATATTTAGGAAGTGGTCTCCTGTGCCAATGCATTAAAGTAAACTTCCCACTTTCTTTTCTATGAGGTTCAATGTGGTTGTTTTTATGTTGAGGTCTTTGATTCATTTGGACTTGAGTTTTGTGCATGGTGACAGATATGGATCTATTTTCATTCTTCTACACGTTGACATTCAGTTATGCTAGCACCATTTGTTGAGTACGCTTTCTTTTTCCCATTTTAATCTTTTGCTTTTTTGTCAAAAATCAGGTGTTAGTAGGTGTGTGGATTGATATCTGGGACTTCAATTCAGTTCCACTAGTCCTCCTGTCTGTTTTTATGCCAATTCCAGGCTGTTTTCAATACAAGACAGTAAATTTTTTAAACAGTCCAAAACAGGTGGCACAAGGAGGAGATGTGAATTCAGGAAAGGCCATATGAAGTTAAGAGGGGGATGTGCTGGGAATGGGGAGAGTTGGGATGGGGTGTGGAAAATCAGCATAATGAACATTCATTGTTTACACATATGGAATTTTCAAATAATAAAAATATTACTTAAATAAAGCAAAATGTTGAATTGTTTTACTTATTTTATTTGAATGTTTATGTTTTATTAGTCTTCATCACAGAATTTATTCATATTATACCTTGAGTTCCTTGGACATGTTTATAATTGTCATTTTGAACTGATTACCTAGTACATAATCTAAGTTGCTTCCCTTGGTGTACATTATTGTGGGACTAATGGGACTAATATTTCACTTTGGAGGACAGATATTTTCTTGGTGGTTAGTGTTGTTTCTGTTTTTTGTTTTTTGAAACCTGGGTTTCTGAGTTAGAAAATCGGTAGTGTATTTTATTTTGATATAGACATCTGCCTCACCTTTGTTGAGTGGGCATTTGAACCTCTATTTGCTGGTACCCCAACTTGTTAGGTTTGGGGTCAACTAGGTGATACATGCTATTTGGTCTTAGGGACACTCAGTGTTGATATCCAAATGGATTCTCTGAAGTGCCCCAGCTTAGCTAGGATAGTGCAGCTTCTCAGCTCAGGAATGACCCCCCTTCAAGAGAGCTAATAGGTTCTCCCTGCAGATCCTCAGAAATCTAAGGAACACACATATAATCCTGAATGGCCCTCATGTCGCATGTGCTATGGTCATTGTAGAAATGTGTGGTGCTCTTATACACATTTTTTGAAATTCCCACACAGCAAATAATTTTTTTAAAAAAAATAGTCTTTGGCAAATTTATTAATGACAAGACTACTCAGGTCCAAAGTAGTAACACTTGCTCATAATGTTGGTCTGGGGAATGTAAACCTTGCTGAATAGAATACTACTCTGGTGACATCTTTAGAGACAATATAGGGTGGGGTGATTTTGCAGAAGATCAGATGATAAAGCCTGGACCTGCAGTCCCGTGAACTGGGAGTTGAGGAAGTCCTTGTTTTTAACAGAGGAAGCTTTCCCCTGTCATACAACACAACTACATGGTGAAGAGACTGTGGAACCAAATTCTAAATTCTAGTTGAGGCTTCCTTACTTAGTTCCATTCTTTCTTTTTATAGTTTATTGCAAGCTTTAAGTTTTTCTTTTATGTAGCATTTGCCTTTGAATCACCTCTTATTAGCCTTATATTGACTACAGTTCTCTTTTCATGACCTTCCTTGTCCATATCATATTATCTTTACAACCCAAATCCCCATGTTTCAAATTCAGGACTGACAGGTAATAGCATAAGTGCACAAAATAAAGAATTTGTGCTTGTTGACTAAATATTAAGCTTATTAAATGATACCAATATATTAATATATTTTTATAGATGTTTTTCATTTATCTCTTCTCAAAATTTGCAATCTGTATCTATGAGGAGTAACACAGATTAAGCAGAAAATGTATTATTTGTGTTTAGTATTTTTTATACTATCCCTTTTGTTTCTCTTAAATACCTTTTAATTTTACTTTTATTTTTGATATTACAATACAATTATAATATTTCCTCTTTTTCTTTACTTCCTGTAAACTCTCATATAACTCTCTTAGTCTGTTCTGAAATTGTGGTCTCTTCTTTCATTGTCATATACTTATGTTTATGTCATAAACTTATACATATATGTTCCAAAATATGACCTACTCAGTCTATATATTGTTATTTATATGTAATGTTTTCAGGTCTGAGCACTTGATTTTGGATAACCAGTTGGTGTGCTCTTCCCATAATATCATTTAAGGAGTTGAAAGACCACAAGCACGAGCTCCCCCTTTCTTTCCAGCATGACATCATAGCCTCCTTAGAGCATCATGGTCTCTTCTCCTTCCAGGAGTGACAGATTCACATCTCTCAACGTAGAGGACTCAGAGAGAAGCAAGGGATGAAAGCCCCAGAGGGCAGAGCTTGCTCCAGACTTGAGCAGTTGGTCTTGGGATAGCATGATGTGCTTTTCTTGATGAGGCCTCCGAGAGCAAGAGAGCCTTTTCACACTCTCTGGAGACCCGAAAACAAGACTGGTAAAGCTCTCGCAGACAGAGGGCACTTGATTAACCTAGCAGTGGCATCCTGATAAAGGGGTCAAGTGCTTCTTACTGCTAAGAATTCACTATTTATTTCACAAGCAAGATAGTTCTACAGCATTTCTGTTCCCTGGGGAGTGCTTTCAGAAGTGGCTCAGGGAAGAGAGCCAGGGACACTTCATTGGGGGGTTTCCCTCCCACTCTTCAGGATCCACTGGATAGGATCCACGCTCTCATTCTACAGGGCCTTCTGTACAATTTCTAAAAGGAGGGGACCAGAGCATGAAGGGTACAGCTAAGATCAGCAGCATTCCTGAGTCAGCGCTCACAGAATGGACTCAATTTTGCTGCTTGTATCTTTTGTAACTGTCTTAGAAGTCTGCTTCTTTTATTACAATGGAAGTGTTTTAGCACCCCCAATGCTCTTTCCTCTTTCACATCCTTCTATGAAGAACCTCATCCTCTGATTTCACATTTATTAATAGTTAGGGATGGGCTACTCACACCCTCTGATCCAAAAAGGAGCAAGAACAGCAGAAATTGTAGCGATGCTACTCTATCTAGATGACAGCAAGAGTTAAGAGGTGCCCGTCCGTTTGACCTACACTTGACCCGCTACAACACAGACTGCTGGTGGTGCTACTGGAGGGAAGACACAATCTTTAGAGCAGGATCAGCTTCAGACTCAACAGAAGCCAGGATTGCATAGCCATCCTTGCTTTCTGTGCACTGGCTCTATTCTCGCAGTAGTTTCTATGTGGTCACAAGAAAAGGAGGAGAGACGAAATACTTTGATGACACTCTGGTTTGGTTCTGAACTGTATCCCTGGATCTTTAAATTAAATGAGTCTGTAAGCTCACTCCTTCCACTTCCTCAGTTATATAAGTGACTGAGAAAAGCATCAACAGATCTTAACTAGAATGAAAAGTACAGGTTATCGGTGGGCAACCTATTTTAAGGAGTCTCAATACACAGCCTGGCCTTCCTTGTAAGGTAATTTTATCAATTCACTTTTCAATCAGGAAAATAATACTCCCCATAAATAAAGCACTAATTTCTCATGGGTTTTATTGGATACTGGATTTACTTTGATTACAGTCTGGGACAGGTTAAAATATAATCAATTTCCTTAATCAATGTTTTGACCTCTAGCTTGGTATATTGCTTTTCACTGAAATAGTTGAAGTACCTTTTTTACTATAAACCCTCATAACTGGTAATGATACTGGCTACTTTGTCATGATATAGTCTTCCATTTTCTTACTGTCCTTGTTTGATTCTCCACTTTGTGAAAGTCAACTCATTAATCATTTCACTTCCCCACTATCAACATCATTTCTTCCAAAAGTGTCCTTCAATATCCCAGTCTATTTAATAAACTGAAGAACTTAGTTTTCTTATTTCCAAATTGTTTTCTATCATAAAACAGCCATAAAAGTAATTGGTACACTTACTGAACATTTATTATATTGGCCAGGTGCTTTCTTGTATTTTTTCTTTAATCAACACAAATACCTATGGGATTGCTGTGACTTTTGCTAAATTATAAATACTAATTTATTGTCCTTAATTTCTTAATATCCATGAATATCAGCGATAAAACTACAAAACTGGCTCTATACCTGTGATCTCTTCACCAAAATGTAGACTTCCCTAAATCAGTACCAAATTCTAAGTGGCATGGCCTTCAAAGAAGTCACCTGCTCTCAGATCTCTGATTAAATTGTCCACTGATGCTAAGGTTAAAACGCAGACTCCAAGAGTCCCATGGGAGCTATTGGGGTGGGAAATGATGCAGGGAGATGTTGGAAAGGTCTTCTGGGCAACTCACCTGCTCCAGGTCCTCTGTTGACCTTTTGTTTTCTCTGTTTGCATCTTGGTAGGGCAAAACAAAGAGTTCAGCAGCGGTGGGTAAGCCAGGTAACACCGCCACCAGGATATGCTGGCTGGGAATCCCTGTGGCCTGTGGGAGAGACAGAGACTGGGTGAATCCTATGGACAATGATGACAGAGACATGGTGATTAGACAGAAGCCATACTGGAATGTGAGGAGTGGTGACTCAGGAACAGAGACACCGGTAGTGTGGACAGTAGAGGACTGGATGGGCATCATCGGGTCATCAGTTAGACTCAAAGTCAGAAGTTAGATTCAGGCTCTACTCCACATTCATCACAGGGACTGTTTTATTAGTCATTTAGGCCTGTAAATATATTTTCTTAAGTAGAATTTTTTTCATTTTTTTATTGATTTTATTGAGCTATACATTTTTCTTTGCTCCCTTCCCTGCCTTTCCTCTGTCCTTCAGCCCTCTCCCAAGGTCCGCATGCTCCTAATTTCCTCAGGAGATCTTGTCATTTTCTACTTCCCATGTAAATTAGATCCATGTATGTGTCTCTTTTAGGGTCCTCATTGTTGTCTAGGTTCTCTGTGTTTGTGGGTTTTAGGCTGGCTTTCTCTATTTATGTTTAAAAACCACTTATGAGTGAGTACATATGATAATTATCTTTCTGGGTCTGGGTTACTTTACTCAATATGATGCTTTCTAGATCCATCCATTTGCCTGCAAATTTCAAGATGCCATTATTTTTCTCTGCTGTGTAGTACTCCATTGTTTAAATGTATTACATTTTTCTTATCCATTCTTATGTTGAAGGACATTTAGGTTGTTTCCAGATTCTGGCTATGACAAAAAAAAAGCTGCTATGAATATAGTTGAGCTCATGTCATTGTGGTATGATTGAGCATCCTTTGGGTATATACCCAAAAGTGGTATTGCTGGGTCTTGAGGAACGTTGCTTCCTAATTTTCTGAGAAATCGCCATATCGATATCCAAATGGCTGTACCAGCTTGCACTCCCATCAGCAATTCAGGAGGGTTCCCTCTTGGAGTAACTCTAACCAAACAAGTGGAAGACTTGTATGACAAGAACTTTAAATCTTTTAATCTTTCTTGAAGAAAGAAATTAAGGAACACACCAGAGAGTGGAAAGATCTCCCATGTTCTTGAGTAGGTATAATTAACATAGTAAAAATGGCAATCTTACCAAAAGCAATCTACAGATTCAATGCAATGCCCATCAAAATTCTTTACAGACCTCGAAAGAATGGTACTCAACTTCATATGGAAAAGCAAAAAAACAGGATAGTCAATTTTATTGTACAACAATCCTGTACAATAAAAGAACTTCTGGAGGCATCATAAGCCCTGACTTCAAACTCTACTACAGAGCTACAGTACTGAAAACAACCTGGTGTTTGCATAAAAACAGACATGAGGACCAATGGAACCAAATCGAAGACCTGAATATTAATCTACACATGTATGAACACCTGATTTTTGACAAAGAAGGAAAAAATATAAAATGGAAAAAAGAAATCATATTTAACAAATGGTGCTAGCATAACAAGTAATGCTGACTTGCTAACCTACGACTCTCAGTACATGAAGCACTTCTGCTGGAATTCAAATTCTTAAAGGGGATGAAATTGATGAACATATATTACATACCTATATGAAATAAAATGTCCCATTATATATAATTAATACATACTCATAGAAATTAAAATAAAGATAAAAAGTTCAAGTAGCATTGAGAAGCTTATTCATTGTTTAATTATTTGGTCTCATACTGATAGCCTAGGGTTTACTCTGAGCCCATTCCTAAGATGGCTCTAGAATTAACTTTTCACCTTGTGGCCACTCAAAATACTGTTTATTTCACTAAGATTTTAATAGTCATATTAAAAGTAATTTCTTATTATCACTCCCATGTCTTCCTTTTGCATTTCTTTGACCCAAAGTAGGCTTTTGTCCAGTTATGTTAGTTTGGGACCATCACCCTTTCTCCTCCGAGATATACCCTCCTCTTTTTCTCCTGCTACATGTGAGAATTTTACTTGTTGCCCTCTGCACGAATGATCCTTTCATTCCTGCATGTGGGTGTCCATCTACTGTTGATATCTCAAGTCATCTCTTCAAGTCACCACCCTAGAGTTTGGCAATGGTATCCTCACCTCAAAGAGGCAGGTTACTCTGTTCTCATTTACCCCTACTATAGCCCAACTCCAGCCATGTTCTCATGTCTAACGTGCTTGCAATCCGTCCCATTGCTACTAAATCAAGTGCTCAAGGAGGTGTATAGAGAGATTCTACTCTCCCTTTTAAAATCGATTACCCAGAGCTCACATGGGCTTTTCTTGCTCCAGCCAAATGCAATTCTGAACAATTTCTCCTTGTTTAGCATTTCCTGTAGGTATATTTGTGCATGCCAACAATGCTTCTTAGAATGTCTTATGTATTTTGCTGGGATGTTTCTACATATTTCCTATAAGCCATCGAAAGGGCTATGCATTTTAGTACATTTTTTCATGATTTCCAACTGTAGTGTTATTTCTTAACTGTTGTTTTTTCCAAATTAGCAGTAAATTCAAGACATTAGTCCATTTTGGTCTGCCTAGAAGTTGTGCTTATGCTGAGAAACTTAGCAAGGTTATATGCAGCTCCTCACCATAAGGCCTTGAAGCATGAGTATGCCCTACTATTCATAGTGTGTGTGTGTGTGTGTGTGTGTGTGTGTGTGTGTGTGTGTGTGTGAAGATATACTACAGGTTGGGGTCCTCTGGAAGCTGACTCAATGTCTCTAGCATGCTGAAGAAATCTTCTCTTTATTTCCTATGAGAATAAAGAAAATGGAGCAGGAGTGGGCAGCAAGAGCTGGGCTGTCATGAAGACCCAATGGGAGTCTCAAGAGGTCCCAGAAGCAGACAGACTTCAGAGATGTCTTAAAATGAGTGATAAATTACTCTATAGACTCATATTTACTTGACATGATCTACTCTAAGGAGTATTAGAATAAGGCAGCCCTCAGTACCACCCCAGCTAAGACAAGTCTCTCCCTGAATAGGAATCTAGGTATCTGGGACCCAGGGCAGACAGAAACTGCAGCAATGTCAAGAAGTGGTTCAAAGTCACCTGGAAAGGGTTTGGTAACACTGTGAGCTTTGATCTAACTGTGAGGTATATAAATATAACCTATCTTCTGTGATTCCTTTATCCTGATGCCACAATATAACTCTGGTTAGAGCTGACACCACACTGTTATATAGGCCTACAAAGTTTGAAACTCTGAGAATAAGTTCAAAGCATCTTCATTATATGCAAAAAAAGAAAAGAACTACTGATAGAAATTCATTTAAAGATACCATTATGCTATGTCCATATCAGAAGCCAATTTGGTGAAGAAACAATAACCACTTTTATATGGAGCTTTGTCACATAGCAACAGGATAAACTGTAAACAAGATAACTCAAGCTGTCCTTCTTGTTGGAGGAGCACAATTAATGAGGTCCCTTAGGACTTAATGAAGTAGCCAAGTGTAATTACTGATCTCAAGGATGAGGGAAATAACTGGGACAAGAGAATGGATCAGTGGCCTCTTGGGGAAACTGAACAGCATTAATTATCCCTTATCTTTAGATCAATACCACCCTGTCCTGAGGGATGTTGATCCAACACAGTTGTTCTACATCCAGTTGGCTACTACATGCAGCAGACTGGAAATATTAATGAGCAGTGTTTCTAGACCACTGGGAAGCTGGCCGCAAGGTAGACGTTCAGTTTCTGATCCCTAGAAAATGGGTATAACAGAAATCAGCCTCAGAAATCTCAGCATTGCTGAGCTAATGCCTTGTTGATGAACTACTGGGGGTGATCTCAGTTTCCAGGGAACCAAGGTGCTTAGAAGATCAGAGACGTTAGAATCTGGGAAAGAGTTCATTGAAGGGGATAACTTATCTTGCTTGGATAGCAGAAGAAAGAAATCAGTTGTGGTACTGGTGACAGGCAACTCCAAGGACAGTAATCCTAATTTCTGTTGGGCCAGTGGTCTACCACTGAGCAATGCAAACAGAGGTGAGATGACAGTTACTTAGAGGTAACACAGTTTCCCTTTCTCCACCCAAATATTCCTTTTATTCTGTTTCCTATTGTAAAAAGGCTAGAGTACATTAGCACTGCATAGACTTCAGGATCTACCTCTGAGGGTCTGGCTTCAAACACTGACTTTTTTTAATTACATGGCCTTCGCCTCCTTGATGAAGTTCTTTACCCAAAGTAGAAATGAACAAAAAATAAATATCAGCTTAATTTTGCTACTAAATATAGCTAAATAATATGAAACATAAAGAAAACCGAAGTATTTTTAGTGTTAAATATTTCTAAATAATGGCACAGGTAAGAAGGTAAATCCTAACAGGCAGCATATGTGATTGCCTTCCTAATCAGAGGTTTTCTCAGTGTCTTTACTGCATCTTTCTTTTCCATCAAGCTCCAGCAAGGATTGGGAGCAGAAAAGTGTTGGGACTAATGAGTCCTAGAACCTTCTAATTAAAGTTACTAGAAGCTGTGCCTAGCATAGAGGATCAGAGGACGGGATTTTTCCCTGTTGTCCATTGACTGCAGTGCATTTAAGCCTACAGGGTGCTAATAAAGAGGGGCTTGGGTATCAGTGTTAAAAGGTCTGCCTGTTGGTCTGTCTCTGCGTGTGTGTTCCAACCTCCAGCCCCTTACCGGAAGCTTGCCAACTGGAGTCTAGCGCATAGAGCACAGACCAGGGGCCATGGTGCGTGGCAGAAAAGTACTGGCTTTTGGGGACCCTAGTCTACTTGTATGCACAGCTTCCTAGGCCTGGATGTAGTGGGGAGGGCCTTGGACTTCCCACAAGGCAGGGCTCCCTGCCCTCTCTTAAGGAGTCAGGGGGAGGAAGGAGGGGGAGTGGGGGAGCGGGAGGGGAATGGCAGGAGGGGAGGAAGTGTAAATTTTTTAATAGAAAAATAAAAATAAAAAAAACAAATGATCTATTGGTATTTCCTATTGTGCTAAGAGCACAAGATGGTGTATCTTGATTGTCAACTACATCTGCAATTAACTAAAACCCAGGCATCTGGGTGTTGCTTTGATCTGCTGCTTTGTCCCACTGAACTTCACTTTGGGCGTTTGCGTGAGTAGGCATGGGGTCAATGGCACAGACTCAGTGGCCAGGCAGGATGCAGCAAGCTCAGTTTATTTTAGCCTGAAACTCCCTCCACCCGTCCTAGGGGAGGAGAAGCAGCAGCGCTAGCATCAGGGTCGCTCATGGCGGCCATTATTCAGGTTGTCTGTCTCACGTCACAGCAGCTGTTGCTGGGTCTCTTGGCAGCCTTAGGCTGGCTCAATCTGGGGAAGTTACAGATTGCATTCTCAGATACCAGTTTAGTCTTGTTCAGGCCAGCAAGGGCCTCTTGTTTCCCAGGCCCTTTGTGCCTAGGCAAATAACCCCCCACGGCTGGATACAGCTGTAAGGATTTTTCTTCATTGGATCATTTGAGATGGGAAGAACCACTCTAAATTTGATCATTTTAAGTTGGGAATATCTGCCATTTCTTCACCAGTGTTAGAACCTAGTTCTTTGGGATTCTAAGGTATTTTGAAGACCAGGTAAAACACTCAGTCTCATGGACTGACGATTGTCAGATTTGGGGCTTTACTGTTGGGAGACAACCATTGTCAGACTAGCTGGACCACAGCCAACAAGCCACTCTGCCCCCCCCCCCCCAAAAAAAAACCTTTTAAATGTATTCATTCTATCAGTTTTGTATATCTAGCAATTATACTTCTTCTGATTTCTCATGTTTGGACACTGCTTGACCAACCCATGCCTCGCTGAGGAAGATGAAGCAGATAGGGGGAAAAGTGTTTAAGAAAGATGTCTCCTTCAGTCTTCAGGAACCCTGTGCCTGCTAAGGAATAATCCACATCACCTTGCTACTCTTCCAAAAAGCTTAGGGGGATTCGAGGCTGGTTACATTGTAAGATCCCAGACATGAGAAACAGGACATTCAATTCAATTATGGAGTTTTGTCACTTATTTATTTGTGAGAGTCTGGGGGAGTTATCTCAGAGAATTTTTGTACAAAATGAGGGCACTGATCAGCTTCTCTTGGGAAGGAAAAGAAATCTTTGAAAAGAATTGAGACACGGACATATGGGTAGGTGTCCTGTACCACGTGCTCTTAGAATTAAGACACGGTCATATAGGTAGGTATCCTGTACCATGTGCTCTTAGAGCTGTGTGGTGACAGATAAGGATCTGGAACTTGGGTTTCTTTTATTAATTATACTCACTCTTGAAGACACTTAGACAGTATTCTCCTTGGTTATGCACAGCCATTGAGTTTTCATTTACCAATGAAAAACTTACCCAAGCCTGAACTCAGCTGCATGCATAACTGTCACAGACATTCATGTTCTTCTTGAAGAAGTAGCTTCATAGGGGCAAAGGCCATAGGTTTCAGAGGGCTGCACTGACCCAATAATAAAGACAGGCATGCGTATGTGGATCACAAATCTTAAGATACCAAACTGACATCTCTGGGCTCCAGCTCTGTCTTCTCCATCCTTTGCAAAGGTTCCATTCTCCATGAAGCCATTCGAGGACAGAGAAGGACTATGTTTGACAGAGAGAAGGGAATACTCATACTCACTTCCACCAGAGACTTTTTGATGACTCGGCTGATGTCCCTCCTCCACTCGGGGATGTCAGGGTTGTAGTCATCCAAATTTGGAGAAAAGGCCAAGCGAAGAGACCGGAATTCCTCTGTGGATGTAACAGTAAGTCCATTACTACAAGTTAAATAGCTCCACAAAGCAGCCAAAACATTGTGTTTCCTACAAAGTCTTAAACACTCACCATATTTACCCTTCTAAGGATAAATATCCTCTCTCTGTTATCTCTCTAACTGTAACTTTGCTAAACTGAAGCCATAGACTCTGGCCCATACCTAGCTCAGTAGCCTTTGCCCATTATCCCCAGCTCTAGGCTTTGATATCCTGGACATTAAATGAGCCAAGGTTCCTGGATACATGGCAATGTCATGATGCCAGAACATATTCATACCCTGTTCCTCTAACAGGAATGCCATTTATTCCAATTCTTACCTACAAAAATATTGAAAGCTTTTCTTAACAGACCATTCATCTTCACCATTGATGCTTTAATTTCATTTTTTAAATGATACTACTATATTGAGCATATGCTTCTATCATTTTATGAGGGTATAATAATTAAGGTATTAATACTTAAATTTATTTAAATACTTATTCTATTTTTAGGAGAGGGGTTGCTCATAAGTTTTATAGAATGGCATTTCATGACATTCCTAACATCAGGGATATTTTTATTTTCATTCCTCTGTAGACCCTGAGTTAGTCTTGATCCTCCAGGAAGTGGGATGGTGATTCAGCTGACAATGATATTTCTAGAGGGATTTTTTTGGAGGAAACTGAAGGGGCTCCTAGGAGGAATGGAGAATATTTAGACAAAGAAATGCAGGACAAGAGTCAGCTGGGAGAGGAAGCCCTGTGTTCCAAGAAAGGGTCAACTTTAGCACTCTGTGACACTGTCATTAGCTGGCATCTGCCCCAAGAAAGTGACGCGAAGGCCTCAGGCTGGTGTGAGCTTCAGAACACAGAGTCGGGGTGTGTTTTTCTGCCTTCAACACCCTACCTCAGTGTTGGGCACACAGAACATGCAGAACACAGTACTGTCTCCCTGCATCTGCTAGTTGCTCTACACTTAGGATAAATGCACTTTCTTATCACAGTCTTTAATCCCACTACACATAGTGTAACCTACCTCTGCTGCCTTGTGTCCTGCAGGGCTTCCCTGCCTGTGCATCTTGTACTGCTGGGCTGTGTCCCATGGCTTCTGCATCATGCCATCCCTTGCCACAGCAGATGCTTCAACTTGCCACACACACCAGCATGCCTGACTTCCCCTCAACCTCTCATTAGAGAGGCTTTCTCACCACCAAACAGAGAACATCCTCCTCTGCACTAATGGACTCCATCATTTGATAGTTCTTGTCTTCTTTATATTCAGTGGTATTGTGTGTGTGTGTGTGTGTGTGTGTGTTGTGTGTATGTGGTGTGTGTGTGGTCAATGGGGACAGAGATTTTGTGCTTTTGACCTTGGGACTGTACTTAGCAACTGTAGGCTTTTAAAGATCATGCATGGACCGTGTAATTTGTGGATGTGTATTCAATGTGTAAATGATTCCATTTCCGTGCGGGTTTTGTTATTATTCATTTACTTATCTGACAATCAGTTCTTATTTCAAGCATGTCCTTGTGCTTCGGTGGGGGCTAAGGGACTTCAGTGATGCCAATTATACATCTAGGAAGCATAAAAGCCCACTTGTGCATTCCCTAACAAAGCTAACGAGCTATCAGACAAACGCTTTGAAAACTCTTACATAAGAAAATGTGTATTTATGAGAGTGGCTTTGTTCCAAAGATATGGTTTTCAAAGTTTGACTATTTGTGAGTCACTGGCCACCCGTGTGAACATCCCTGTTTCATTTCTGGTGGAGAATAATTACAAGAATATAAATGTGCAGTGTGATAAATGGCAGCATTAAAGAGTCGCCCACTGAGTTCTAACTTTACTCCGACGGCAGAGGTTGATGTCATTCTCACTTTCTCCTTACCTCTCATCACAGGGCAGTGACTTCATCTATCTATAAAGAAAGCTGTCTAGCCTAGTGGAAGGACACAAATGGTGCAGCCTCCTCATTATCACTTAAGGCAGGAACTAGCATGAGGTGAAGATTGAATGGCTTAGAAATGTGCTTCCTAAGAATTCAAATACATGAAGAAGGACTGGAAAAAATAAAATGCCAATTAAGTGGCATTATTTGAAGCTGTTAAAGTAGATCAATTCAATACATTTGCCATCTGTAAAGGCAAACCTGTGCCCAAGAATGTTTGGGGGAGAAAGAACACAAGTTAGAGGACCTTCCTTTCAGTTTGGTGGCCTTGGGCAGACCAGTCTTCCCCAATCATGTCTCAATAGCTTGCCTCCTACCGTTAATCACAATGATCCTCACTTTCCCTCTATTTTGCTAAGCTCTATGCAGATATCTCTGGGTGCACCTGCTGGCCTCTCTTAGGGTATTCAATCTAGAAAACTTGCAGCTGTCGATTCTATTTCTGTCAATTTACAAGCTAAATCATGACTAATTTAGAGCATATTTCCCTAGGACCATGGGGGAGATATTTCTTTAAATATAGCCATAACCAAAAAAGACAGAGCTGTCCTCTTCCCACCTTTGTAGGAAGGTAGAGACTAAATTCCCTAAGTGACAGTAGTTGCTTCAGATGGTTTAATCACACTAATGACCCCATATACTTCCTGAGGCTCTCCAATACACTTCTGCCAGCTAACCTCGGGATTAAAAAAACAAAACAAAACAAAACACTATTCCTTGTTAAGTACAAGGCTTCCTGTCTAACTCTGGTCAGTATAATGTTTATTTAAGAAGTCACAACACATTAAAAGTTTCAAATTACTGGGCATATGCTATTGTTCAGTGAGATAACACTTGCACACAAGTATACCACTAAGGTTCAGTACTAGTACTTCCCTAACAAACTCACAAACAAATAAATTTTAAAAAAGCATTTCAAACCATGTGTATGACTCACTGTATAACTTGTCTGATTGAAAACGAATGGAGGATAGTTAGAGCATGCCATCTGTTCTATTAATACTTTTAATGAAGAGATAGATGATTCCCCCACTGAATGTAGATATGTAGATAGATGGATAGATAGATAGACAGACAGACAGATAGATAGATGAGTGGGTGGGTAGGTGGATGGGATTATGGATGGATGGATGGATGGATCATTGCCACTGTATGTAGATAGATGATAGGCAGATGGATAGATAGATGATCACTGAATGTATGCAGATAGGATAGACAGTTGGATGGATAGATAGATAGATAGATAGATAGATGCATAGATAGATGATCTCCTACTTCTACTTTTAGAAGATGACTTTACAGAGACTGAGCATAAGGGCCAAAGCATAGCAAGGGAAAAATTATGTGTAACTGACCCTTCTAGACACAGGATTCTTATGCTGTGTTTGTTCATTACACTTATGCCATGTTTTCTCATTTGTAAAGCAGGGATAATTATAGAATTTTCCTCTCAAGTCTGTTCACAGGATTTAATAAGGCAGTTCATATATCTCAAGTGCTAGGGACAGATGCTGGTGATTAGAACAGGCTTCATCAGTGTTAGCCTGTGTCACTGACACCGTTGCTATTAATGGAACTGTCACAAAGTAGCAGAATGACTTTAAACCAGAAATTTTGCATGTCTGCCCACAATTCCCTAGCAGTAAATGATGGTTGGATAAGAACAATTCAGAGACCTTCTAGATTTAAGACTCTCTCGGAGATTCTAACAAAGAGGTCATGTACACACCTGACAGGCAGGACAACTTGTAACATCCAAGAGGGAGAGGGATCCATCTAAGGAGGTGAAGAGCACCCATGGAAAGGATATGAGTCACATATTTAGAGTCTTGTGGTTTTAACGTGAATATCCTGCACATGGTCATGTTTAAATACTTGGTCCTCAACTGGTAGCACTGTTCATACAGGTTACAAAACCTTTAGAACAGTGATTCTCAACCTTCCTAATGCTGCAACCCTTTAATAGAGTTCTTCATGTTGTGGTGACCCCAATCCTAAAATTATTTTTGTTACTACTTCATAACTGTATCTTACTACTATTATGAATCATAATGTGAATATCTGTGTCCTCCAGTGGTCTTAGGTGATTCGATGCAACCCACTGTTTTAGGAGGTGAAACATCACTGGAGGGAATATGCCACTGTCTGTGGGTTTTGAGGATTTTATAGTCTGACCTTATGTTTGGTGCTTTCTGCTCTGCTTCCTGAATATGGATGTGATCTTATCAGGCAGCTTTTCCACCTGCTGCTATGGCTTACCTGGCACTATGGGCTCTATCCCTCTGGAAAGGTGAAACAGGATATTTTCAGGGTATTTTGAGACAGAAATAGAAAAAAAAAACTAATACAGAGAGCAATTTCAGACCATGGGCCCAGGGTTGGGGGTGAAGCCTAATTCCAACCATCACCAGTGGGGGATACTTACAAACAGTACAGTTACTTCCCTTACACTAGGGTTTCTGGAAAGATTCAATTCATCCCCAGAACATAGAAAGGAGACAGGTATGGAAATTGAATCAACAGCTCACCCCACTATGCATGCTGACATGGTAGCCCTCTGGTTGGGAAATATCTATCTTTATTTCCTTTCGCTGTCTAAGCTGATCAGATCTCTTCAAGGGGAAGGAGAGGCAAAAGCGTGAGCTCTCACGCTGAGCCATCTCTTTCTAGAACAATATCCTTAGGCCTTTTCATCTTCAGACATGTTCAAAGTTGCTTACAAATTACTCTCTGGTTTTGAAGGTCAAGTTAGCACACCAAGGAATTGAAAGAAAGAGCTATATTCCCCAAAGAACAATCTAGACCTACGTTACATTATTGGAAGCAATTGATTCTGGAACTGGGTTAAATCGATATTTGAGAAAAAAATGTCTCACTTCTCTCTCCCATATTTCCTTGCTCCCTCCCACCTTCAAATTCTTTCTCCTTAGCCAGCAAACATATTCTGTATCTAGTTTTAAAACCTTGTTTTCTTTAAATTTTAATTTCCCATGATACATATATACTACTTTCATATTAATAAACATTTACGTCTTTACTGTCTGCTGGTAACACTGAGTTCATATCCAACTAATTAGCATTTTATATAGAAAAAATATTACCAAGTGGGATCAATCTGTAAAAACTGTTTTTAATCTCTCATTTGGAAGTAATAATCCTACCTTTCCATTTCAGTAAATTTCATCTCATCTAATACTTGGAATATATTAGTTTCCCCAGATAATCACAAAATTGTACTGTATGGCTACTATTCCAACTGACATGCAATTCTTGGCTGGCCTCTGATGACTGTAACATTTCTATTGCTTTTAGTCTAGTAGAGGGTTTGCTGTTGACGATGGTGTCATTAAGATTTTCTTGTTGTTGTTTCAAGTACAGATTTGTGAAAGAATTTAAAAAATTTTGAATAATGGAAAGGTCTTCTTCAAATGGAATTGGAAAGCAAAATTTCTCTGAATTAGCCATTTCCTAACAAGTAATTTTAACTACCCAAATATCAGATAAAATTGTAATGAGTTAGCCATACTCATGATTAGGTACCAGTCTATCCCACCCACACTGATGGAGCTAAGATTCTCCCTGTATGCACCAGAAACTTCCAGCATACGATGACCACGGCTCAGCTAGTGAATGGCATTCTCTACAAACATCCTAGCTCTTTCTCAAGCGCTGCCATCTCTAGTCCAGGGGCGTCTATAGCATCATGAACCAATCACATCTGAGGATGTGGGCAAAGGTGCATCAGCAAACACGGGCACTCACCGTAGACTGCGATGGTCTTCGTGTCTTGCAGGATGGCATTCCCAGCTGAAACCTGCACTGTGATGGTATTCATTCCTTCAGAAGTAAACTTGAACGATATGCTTCCCTCCAAGGTTATTAAGGGCTAAAACACACAAGGGAGTGGAGAGAAGGGAAAGTCACAACCGTGGTTGAAACAGCCTCCGTCTCTAGGTGTCCCCGCATTTCCCATGTGCTGGGATTAGAGACAGGCTCATCCTGGGCATCCACTCTATTAACTGTCTGTTCTTCCCCGTCAGCTGAAGTCCATGAGATGGCTGGTGCAGGAGTAGCCATAAGCGATGCTGTGTCTTTCCTAAAAATTAACACCTGCCTCCTGGTATCATCCTGAGTAAGAACTTGGGAAATCAATATGTCTGATAGGCCTTGGGTATTGACAGGATACATGTCTCTGCTTACTTCTCCTACCCAGTAGAACTTTTAATCAAATGAATCATTTGGATAAATGAAGACCAGAAGCCTCAAATGTATCAACAAATAGTGAGAATTTCTAAGCTTTCTGGTATTCATCTGCAGGGTAAACCATTTCTAGAGCATTATATTGGAATTCAGCAGCCCCCGCCTCAGAAGTGAACTCTAGATAGGGAGGAGTGGCCTGTGATGTCACTGTGTAACACCAGTTTCCTGGAAGTTGCCGCTCTGAAAGCAAGCACTAACTGGATAATGGTTTAAGGACTCTAAAGAAAAAAAAATGAGTTGAAAGAGTCATGCTATAACACAATCAGAGAATCATATCCTAAAAGAAAAAAAAATAATCTACTGACATCACTTGACTGTTTCTCCACAAATACTTCTTTTCTGTCTTTCTTAATTAGCTTTAAAATCAAGATTCACAATATTTCATAGGGAAAGCATCCTGTCTTGTTGAAAAATTGGCTTTAGAAGGTGGGGGAAAGAAACAGAAGAACTTTGTTTTGTTCTTTTTTTTTTCTAGTGATAATTTTCAGATAAACAGCAACCCCATCCTGACATCAAGAATGGAAGGTTTGGTTGGTGAGGTCTGGCTGCAGACTTTCTGGTAGGACTTTTGAGGAACAAGTCCATGGTCTCAGCTGAGGGATGTAGCAGGGATGGTTCACCTAGAGAACACAAGGGAAAGGCAAAGGAGAGATGTAGGGGGGAGCTGGATAAGTCAGACAGAGGTGGGGGAAAGGGAGGAACCTGGTGAGGATTTGAACACAGGTGGCCTGTGGTCATGGAAGCTCAGGCTACCCTCAGACTCAAAGCCACAAGCCAGCTCATCCTGTTGGGCTCCCAGCAAGCATAAGTTGCGCCTCTATCACTGGGGACACGCAGGAAAGCCAGCTCACCTCTGTGTTGTTTCCGTACCACCACACGTACGTGAGAGTGCCCACTTGGCTGGGCCAGAGCACTGCAGTGGCATTGACCTCTTTGTTCTTCGTTGTGACGAAAGGAAGCGACAGGTGCACATGCTCCAGGGGACCTGAGGCACAGAGGAAGAAAGAAGGACATAGAGAGGGAAGAGCTGCTTCAGCTCCACCTTCTCTGCTCAGAGAGGATACACATTCAGCCTGGAAATCCCAAACATTGCAGCCACGTTCTCCAAGGGAAATATTTTGCTGCTTTCCCCACTCAGAGATAAATCCATGTTATGAACAACCACATACGACAACTCAATTTACTGATTCATCTTCTGGGTCTGAGTTATGTAAGTGGAAAAGGCAAAAATTAAGTAAGTCACGAAGTCTAAACATCAACAGCTAAAATGTAAGAGTTCACAGGGAGTCACAATTCTTCCCACAAGGCTACGTTCTCAGAGATAAACAGGATCCAGAGTTGCTGGACATCTATTAGGAATGAAGATCAGGAAGCCATAAACTCTCCTTCAATAATTACTCTTACAGTCTAAGGTGTTTAAATGTGGTCAGATCTACACCTGAGACAAAGCCATCTGCTTAGGCTAGCAGGCAACACATTGATATTTGTGGTTGAATCAGGCTTGCCTGGAACTGCGTTGCTTACAAATGGAAAGTGAGTTCCATGTAAATAGGTCCCAGGCATCAGATAATACACTTTACTCCTGTATTCACTTACTGTACAGCTCTCAGACTCTCTTAACAACATAGCTGTCTCCTAGCACGCCAAGGCTTGATCTTCCCCAGACCTTTTGTTTCCAGACCTGTCTCAGAACCTTGCAACCCTCATACCAAGCAGAACTTCTTTTTTGACATCCTGATCACCTGCTCTGAGCTAAATGAATCAAATGACGAGGAGCCGGTGAGGCAGGTCAATGGGAAAAGTTGCTTGTTGTGCCACGCCAGTGACCTGAGTTAGGTTCCTTGTTACCTATGTAAAGATGGGAAGTGAGGAGACTCCCAAAAGGTGTCCTCTGACCTCTCCATATGCTGTGATGTGCATGTTCCCAACTCACCTTGCATAGCCACACACACACACACACACACACACACACACACACACACACACAGAGAGAGAGAGAGAGAGAGAGAGAGAGAGAGAGAGAGAGAGAGAATATCAATTTGAAAGGAAAATAAAAAAAAAAACAGTCTGTTCTAGAAATCCAAGGTTCATTCAATAGGAATTCATTTTCTCTATGTCATAGATGATTATTCAGTTTCACTTTTGTTTTTGTTTTTTTTTCCAGTCAGAACATCAGAATGAGGACAATGTCTAGGTGTCATTGCGGCAATGATGAGGTGGGATCTTTGCTGAACTGTGCCCAAGCCATTCATCCAACAGTTTTGATTGCCACTGGACTCTGGGTGTGGTTTTCAGTGGTGGAAACACCCGGAACTTGGTGGTGCTTAGGTTGTTTGGAAGGAAGAAGGCTTTGAACCTCCAATGAAGAGTTAGGAATGAGGGGGGCACTGTTGATAGAGTGTTCAAGGAGAGCTCCAGAAATGGCACCAAGCATCAGTGAGAGAAAGATTGTGCCAACAATCTATTTGGAATGTTCAAGGATGAGATTAGAGTCAGTGGAAACGTCCTGAGAAGGTGTGCCTGCCATGCTAGCCGGAAAGCAAGACAATCCAATAGGGCAGTGGAAGATGGTGGACGAGGATGCAACAGTGGACACCCAGGAAGTACCGAGAACCCATGCTGATTTTTCTGGCCCTGAACTAGAGGCATATGTGTTTTGCAGTTTTACCCGTGTGTGTGTGTGTGTGTGTGTACCCAGATACAGGTATGAAATATATACTGCAATTTTCTATGGCCTCTTGCATCTATTTACTTTTTAGTGATATAAGACAGCTGGTTCTTGTCATAACTGTATATTTTAAGAATGTTTCAAGAATAGAAAGACAAACTCCTCGCTCTGAGGATCCCTAGCTATGTACTGAACAAGCAAGCCCATTCGGCCTATCATATAGGTACTTGTGATGCAGAAAAGTGACAGCAGGTGGCGCTGCATCATTTCATATTATCGAAAAACTACAGAATTTCTAGAGTGAACTGCATTTGCCTTCTTTGGGTTATTAGACTTTTTAGATGGCACGAAATAGCTAATGTCTGTGAGAATGAATTTTTTTGGTGTGTGTGTGTGTGTGTGTGTGTGTGCGTGTGTGTGTTTAATGATTGTGGCCTGTCTCTTAGACTTATGTTCTAAAGCTATTTGAGCTTGCATGTATCCAACTAAATCTTGGATATGTTGGATATATATCACGTTGCTGTGTCTTTAAACAGCTAAAAAATGAAAGCTCCATGAGAAGCAGACACTGGACACACTATAAGGAGGATGTGTTAAAGCAGACTCCTTAGACTTCAGTGTCCATTAGAATTATGCATGAAGGATGTTAGGGTGTCATTTTTCCAGACAAGATAATAAACGAGATCACAACATTTATATCATTTAATTCCGGGGCAGATGACCTACTAAACCACACTTCGCATGATTCTGCTCTGCCATTTCTAGGCCAACATAATAATGGTGTCAATACTTGAAAGTGTCGTGAATTTTTAAGGCACACAGGTCAGACTGTGGTATCAGAAAGACACAGGCTCATTGCTCCTCTTTGGAGCAAAGAAAAGAGATGGACAAAGGATAGATTAAAGCACCCAGCTCATATTTTGTTCATGTTGTTTACTTTCCATTCTATAGGTCCGCAGACACTCCACTTCCCTGACCCCTCAAAGATGATGTCCAGGAAGAGGCAGTTTCTGAGCCGAAATCCTCATACCCTCTACATTTTCTACCCCATCCAGCTGAAGGCCAGAAAGTCTGCACCAAGTGTCTCATTAGTCTGCAAAGTAGCAGAGCAGAGTGAACACTATCCCCAAGGAATTTCCACCTGTCAGGCTTCAATAGATTACCCTGGCATCCTGCAAGAGCTGCATGCTCACTCCTGGAGTCACTACAGCGGGAACATCAGCTCCATTTGTTTCTGATGACCTTTGCAAACTCACACTGAAAAACCTTTAATTTGGAGTTAAATCACCTTTCTGTTTTGGTGAGTGGAGGGAATGTGTATTCAAGCAAGCACTGTGATTCCTGGGAGAGCCTTGCAATGAAGGCGAAGCAGGGACAGAGGAGAGGAAGGGGAATCCTGGAAAGAGGAGAGGTCTGAAGGGGAAGGAGGAACATAGGAGAGGTGTAACAGCTAAGAATTGCTGCCAATCCTCAGCTAACTCATAGCTCACTTAGTCCAAATACATCTGCTACTCTATTGTGAAGGAAAATCAGATTTTATGAATTGGCAGAATGTCACATAATTTGTGTGAAAGAATCACTGGGTGCAAGATGTGCATCTTTTGACAGAGGAAAGAATTTAGGCTTAGAGAGGAGTGACTCACCCAATCAGGAATCTGTCCTTAATCACTGTGATGGCTACACTGGTTGTCAACTTGACAGGATATAGGATCATCCAAGGATCAAAACTAAAATTCCATCAAGTGTCAGGAACATTGCAACTAAAACAACAGCCAGTGTACAGAAACACTCAAAAAATTAGACTTGATGAGGAAGCTTCTGGATTGGGATAATGGAGGCAGAGAGACACACCCTGAGTGTGGGAAATCCTGAGTGTGGGAATCACAACTCCATGGGCTCGAGTCCAGAACCACACACACACACACACACAAGCTGTCATCACACTCTGTCTCCTGACTGTGGATACAGTGTGACCAGATGTGCCATGTCCTTGCAGTTGTTATTCCTCAGGATGATAGCATTCCAGAAAAAACCACAGCCTCCTTTGAGAAGAGGTAAGATGAGATACACAGGCATTTTTAACAAACACACTCTTACTTCACTGGCTAATTGCTTGGTTACTGATATTGTTCGGGGTATATTTTTAAAGATTTTAAGATTATTCCAAGCCTGTTATCATTTTTATTCCCAGAAACACAGTAGGTAGAGAATAGTGTATCCTAGGCTGTATTGGAGTCTTAAGGTCCTATAGGCAGTAGAAGGGATAGAGGTCTATGTAACATGTTATGAACCTAAACCTCCCTTTGTTTCAAGAAATAGGTGAAAGGAAAAGATTGCTGATGGGAGCTACCCAAGCCAACCTCATCACTTACATTCACCTTAGGGATTAGCCTGGCAGTGTGAAGGAGTCTGACTTTTTAGATTGTTGATTTCAGCTCTATAAACCTTAGGAAAGTATGGTTTCTAACCATTCCTACCTCACGGATTGCTTGCAGAACTAAGGTGATGTACACAGAAAGTGTGTTTAGTGCAATGCCTAACTGGCTTACGTGGTAAGAGATTGATGAAATATAACCAAAAAGAGTAAGATTGGGTAAGCGAACAGAGAATGGGGTCTAACGTTGTTCAGAGCCAGAGAAGGAAATGTGTTCTTGAAAGCACTCTCACACTTTTGTAAAATACACAGACAAGTCACCATCAGTCACACAGCCTGCTGGCCATCCCTCACGAGTCTCAGCCTTTCACTGGACCACTGCAGAAAGATGTTCTTGGTGGGACCTTCTACATTCAGTTTCATTCCATGGGCCAGGTGCAGGAGAGAGGCATAAAATAATTCCCATCATTAACACTTCGGCTCTTGAACTTGAAATCTGAACAAGGTCAGTTATGCAAAACAGCACATTCTATTTTAGCAGAAATTATTACTTTCTGTAATAACAAGGCAAGTCCTAGAACCATTGGGGGAGCCTCACATCTACAAATTCATATGCCACCAACTTACTCAATTCAATTTAGAAGTTATTATTTCACCTTGTGGCTCACAACTTTAATTTCTTTATTGGGGAGGGCACCTAAGAATCTTGAACCTGCTTCCTAATATAGGGAATTCTTTACATTATATAATCTTTCCCTTTAGATCATCTTCTCTCAAATCAAAGGGCACTTACAGATCCAAACCCAGAAAACACATTTTTAAAAGGAGAAAAAGACTAAAGGGATCATTCCTGGTAAGGTATCCCTAATCTTCTGGGAGAGAAATTCTTCACCTCTAATGATTGAGCTGTCATTCATCCATTGCTATTCATTGATATGTGTACCCTTGATATATATTGATAGGTGCTTGAGCACCTAAAAAGGCAGATTTGTATCTCTGAAGGCTCTGGAAAAGGCATGGGAGGTAAACTGAGAACAATTTGACTTTATCCAGAGTCTATAGTTTTATCTGTCACACTTTTAACTTTCTTCTTTCTCACTCTGATGTTCTCTTACATTCAATTTCCCTTTCTGAAAGATATCTACTGTACTACTCTAGATAAGACACTGTACATTAGACTTTTCAAAGGGCAAGTATTCAATATATGTCATAAGTCAACAACAGTAATAACATACAAGTTACATGTAAGTACAGGACGGCGCTGTCAGACCCCAGACTGTTGTCCACCTGTACGGTCACTCGGAAAATGCCCACATTCTGATAGACATGCTTGATTCCATCTTCCATGGAGCTGAGGTTGACATAAGACACTGCAATGCCATCTCCAAAGTCCACCTGGATGAGTGTCCGCTGCACATCACCCTGCAGAAAACGGGCAGTGTTAAATGGAGGCGAGTTAGTGCTTGGCTTCTCTTACCTTGGGGTCTGAGGTTCACTCATCTTCCTCCTATGGTTGGGAGCATCTGTATTCTGCTATAATATCATCCTTATAACAATTAGTTTGCTGAGAATACTCTCTATGGCAAAGGGGCACCAATGATCAAATTTCCAAGGCTTAGAAGAGCAGGTGCTTGATTACTAATTTAGTTGACTGTAATATTCAGTTAATTAGAAGTCTTTATTAATTATCTTATCTGGCATGGTCAAAGACCACTTCCTAGGTCTTCAAGAACTGTGAATTGTCTTTATTTCCAGTTCCTTAACCAAGTTGGAAAAAGAATGTAAAATGCCTGCTTAACACTTAATATAACACGAGAATTAGAATTATTTATAATAATTATTATTAGTCTTTTTGGTTTGTTTGCTATCTGTTTTTGCAAATAGATTTTTATCTCGGTATGCTGTCCTATCAGAGCATTTCTGTAGAATATTAGCCTGGAGAGAAGAGTAGGAAATGGTCATCATCTTCACAGATGAACGTGAAGTCTAAAAAGCTTTCATCATTTACTGAAGGTTCACTCAGCTAGGAAATTACAGTCTTGAATAATAAACCATTGTCTTTGAATTTCCCATTCATTTCTGTAGATAAGAGTTAGTCCTATGGCTAAAGCACTGAAGGTCTCACTCAGCCTTGAATCTTAGTCACCATTAACAAGTTATATGACTTCATATGAATCATTCAGCTTCTCTTTGAGTTAGTTACTAAACTTACGAAGTGGGCATAGCAGTACTTTGCCATCTTATTGAATGGGTTGCTATAAAAGCTATATAAATAGCAATTTATACAGTGATATGCAAATAAATAACTGCTAAAAAATATTAAAATGAGGCTTAAAAGACACACAATATTTCTTCAAATCTTACTTTAATCTATTGTTCTATTTTTCTCCTGTGCAGCCAGGAGATGAAAGTCTGCATTTACAAAGTCCTGTAAAAAGAAAGGACCTTTGGAATTATGGTTTAGACTTGCAAGGAACAACATTGCTTAGACTCAACTGGCAAAATTGAGCTTCCTACTTTTAACACCTTCTTTTTTTTTTTGATAGCCTTCCACAGTTTCAGGCAAACAACAAAACAAAACACAAACTAAATCATCAAAAACCTTTGAACTAGAAATGTATTTTTGATTAAGTAAGGTTTATGTGGTATCACATCTTTTGAAAAGGCCAACTTTACAATGTTGACATTTAAAGGATTAATACACAGAAAAAAAAGTGAAGCAGTTCAAACCCTGTGAGTATCTGCGACCTACAGCTTCAATCTGTGCCCAGTAGCATGGTGTGGCATGCATGGTGACCAATGCTCAGGCAGAGGGAGTAGGGCTTTCGGTAACATCACAGACTGAAATCTTTTGCTAGGTTAAAAAACAAAAACAAAAACAACAGCAGCAACAACAAATCCCTCCATTTAAGCTACTACACAAATATCCACAGGTTAGTACATTGTGTGGTTATTTGAATTTCCTCATTTAATGAGTACAAATGCCAGCAATCTTGCTAATATGTCATTCATGTGGACAACTCAAGTGCACTGATCAATCTTTTCCTTCTGTTCCTGGTATATAACTACTTCCACATTTTCACAGGTTCAGAGTCATTAAGAAGTCAACCAGAGGTGTGGTTGAGAGAAAGGAAGCCAGACTTTAAAACAAGTGTCTGAGATAAATATGAGAGGTAGATATCATGGTTTGTGGCATAAGATGAGCAATAGAAATTGCACTGGAGACAGAGGAGCAAGTTTGAGGTAGACTCACAGAGTAGATATCAAACAGGGTCCATATTTGTAAGACAACATGAGGAGATTGCATCTTCAACCAACTGTGCTTTAGCCTGTACTAAGAGGGTATCGCTACCCACCCAACTCAGAAAAGGAAGATTTTAGCTGCCACTACTTGATTCTACAATTCCTTCATCATCCTGTTGAGTTAGTAGTACTCATTTCATTTAGACATTGTCACTTATAAAACGCTTCTCCCAAGGAACAGAGGAGATAGCTCATAGGTAAGGTGCTTTCCCTGGAAAAGAATGAAGGCCTGTGTGGAGCATATATCCTGAACCTCAGCTCTGGGGCTTGTTGGACAAGGGATCTCAGAACTTGTTGAAAACCTAGGTTAATCAATTGCCAATGAGAATCCAACAAGAGACTAAACCTCAAATAGTTAGGTAGAAACCACGCACACACACACACACACTACTCCCTTACCATGCTCTGTTTTCTGTTTGTCTAGTTGTCATGATGGTTTTTGGGCCTAATAGCATTCTTAATTCTCTGCTCGTGATAATGCTCTCCTAGAGGAAGATAGGAGACACTCAATCTTCACACCAGAGCATTAGTAATAAGGGTCAGCTTTTTATTACTGAGAACTCTGAGTGTCATGGCATGGCATATTCCATTTAAACAGGAAGTCCCCAGGATCCTGGATGTAGTGGTAGACCTTTGTGTCTGAATTATGCATGAGGAGGTAAGTATGTCTTACTATTAAGATAAAAATTACAGATAAAAATCACAACAGGTACATATTTGCCTTTTCAGTGGAAAGAACTGGGCCCTGAGCTCATTGTAGTGGCTCACATATCATGATCATTGATCGCTTGGGGATTCATCAGCTACCCTCCTAGATAATCCCTTCCCTGGACAAGCTGGCACATTCATTCATTTATTAAATCAATCAAATATAGATATCATAGAGTATCTATCTCTTGTAAGATACTGAATGGGAAAATGTGGCTAAGAAAATAACTCCAATGACAATGCAAATGTAGTTAGAGCTCTTAAGACTTTATAGACCATTTTGAGATTGATGCAGATTAAAGGGACCATTATATGGTATGATAAACCTGTGCCATGGGAACTGATGGAAAGTTACTCTGATTGGGAACTTCTCAGCAGGATTCCCAGAGCAAGTAGCTGAGGCCTCAAGGAAATGAGCAAAGCAAAGTTAAGAGCCATGTGGAGATTATGTAACCCAGGCAATGAGGACATGGTGAGACAGATGTTCAAGGGCCCAGGAGCATAAGGAGAAAGTAAAATTGAAAAGATTAAAGGATAATGAAAAGAAAGATTATAAGAATAGGAGAATACAATATAAGATTATAAGAATATGCAACACAATTGCTAGGGAGGAGAAAAAGGCCTTTAGGTCTTGTGGGCCAAGTTTCTGATTTCATTCTTTCTTCTAAAAACAATGTTAAGACAGCAAAATGTTTTAAGAAAGAGCATCGGGGAAACATCATACTGATAGTATTTGTTCCAAATGATCACTCTGTATACTACCTGGAGGATGAGCTGAAAAGCATCCTAGTGTGCTGGGAAACGAACGAGGGATAATCCAGAGCAGACGATTGTGGATGGGAAAGAGCTTCACCATGAAAGTCTGTGTGCCTCTGAAAAGAACTCTGGTATCACCAGCACCAATGCTCTTGTTAATGCAGATACCCAACCACTCTCCAAGGCTCATGTGTTTCAGGGACCCTCAAGAGAATGCTCAGTCCTGCTGATTATAGATGATGTTGGCTATGTACCAAATGTTGATGCCCTCTGCTCAGGATGCTGAACATTAGACTTTCCTTGGTTTTGGGTTTGTTCAAGGATGAACAAACTAATACCTAAGCGTGTTATACCTTTTATTTGATTGTGTAAGGGGATGATGGGGCTTCACAGACTTCAGGGATGCCGACCCTCACAAAATGGTTTAATCCTTCACTTGTGAATGATCTAATGCACCATATCTTTTGTTGACCCATTTATTCTCATGATCTTTTTGTATCTTTTGTACTCTGGACCAGTCTTGCTGTGATCAGAACATAGGGCAGGAAGAACACAAGGCAGGAAGACAGATACCAGGAAGCTGAAGCTTCTTGATTCTATCCATAAGAAATTAGAGACTTTTGCTGTATTATTACCACTGCACAGTGACTTTAGCATTTACCTCCATAGGCTTTGGAAGAAAAACCCTGGGACTACTAAATGGCATAAATCATATAAATGCTTTTGAATGACATTTAAAAATCAGTCATAAAGCAAAACATTCAGCTATGTAATAAGAACAAAATTACATTTAAAAAAATGAGTGGTGGGAAGGTTCCTTTAGGAATAAACCTGTACATGCAGCTTTTCCTAGTAGTAAGATATATACTGGAAATGTATCAGTTTTATTAAAAGTAAAATGGAAAAAGGGGAAGAGGAATAGTGTATTCATTGGGGGTATGTGGAAATGCACATCATGATGAAAAATAAAACTAAAATTGTACATACTAATTATGTTGTTAATATAGCTGAATATTGGCGAATTTTCACTAATGAGAACTCATACAGATACACACACATACAGCAACCACAGCAGCACCAGAACCTTGTTCTTTTCTTGATTTGTTACTAATGTTTTAGATTAACTTTAATCATTTTGCATCTACAATCACTGGAAAGACTTAGCTAAGTTACACAAACTCTGAACAAATGTGTGAATTCTTCCTTGGGAAGTCTCTGAATTCCTTTCCCAAATTATTATGCTGTAGTGAAAGAGAAGTGGGTTTACAGAGGTCTGTGGAGGTCCAACATGAAGGAAAAGATGTACTAAAAATCTCTACACTCTGTTATGGTAGCTAATTAAATGTCCTCTGAAGTATACTGCACCTTAGAAACCCTGTTTAAACATTCTATCAGGGGGTGTTCGTATTACCTTGGTTGAACAATGCTTCTCTAGTTCATTTTCTGTCCTAAGTAGGACAGTGTTCCTATTTAAATGAACATGCAACTCTTGAAGAGAAAGATGCAAGGGAAGGAGGGAAGATGGAGACATCCTCTTATGCAGTCAGATGAGCTGAATCATGCCTGGTAGTGCGGGTGACAGATGTCACAGTTAGATCGTGCTCAAACCATGCTTTGCACAAATGGCTCTCTACTTTTTCTCTTATAAATTAAAG